TTTAGTCTTTTTCAATAGGTTTAGTGTTTTCCGGGGTTTCCACTCAACGAGTTTTGGGCAGTCAGTTTGAAATATACTACCTACCACATAAGATTCAGACCATCAAAATATGACCCTCGGCCTGAAAGAGCAAATCTAGGCTAAAACGTGACTGCAAGCAATAAACAAAATAAATTTGTTCATGATTATCTTATAATAGTGTGAATAGGCATCTAAAAAAATCACTTCATGTCTCGGAAACTCCTCCAATTGTTATCCCACAAAATATTTACACACCATACATGTGACAAATCCATCACAAAGCAACGAAAAACAGTAAACATGGCAATATGCCTAGTGGCAATGCTCTGCTTAACTGTTTCACACAAATTTAAAAGGTCTCATGCCACTAATCAACCAATGACCATTTAAATGCCTTGCAAAACCAATCAAATTTTTAAAATATTTTTTTCTCCTTAGGTGCTCCCTGTTAGAGGGCGTGATCACCTGGGTCAAAGGTGAGACTAACATGTGGGCATTTGTTTACTACTTTGCGGCTGTGTACCTGGGGGTTTATTCTGTGTGTATTTGGATGTTCTAATCTTGGTGTTTTTCCAGTGATTTCTCTAGGTGCAATCCAAATACAGTAGGTGTGTCTTGTTTACCTGAGATTTGTAAGAGTTTGAGCTGGCCAACATTTTTTTTTCATGTGATTGATTACTGGCATGTTGATTTATCATTTTTGAGCCATGTTTTCAACTTTCTTCATCATTTTCATATAGCAATCTCGTCATATGTTAACATTGTCGTCTATGGAGTTTCAATTAGTGGTATGAGCCCAAAAGAAACCAATAAGTGCAATGCATTCTGGGAGATATTGTTTCAGACGCCATGGGAGGGCGCTATAAATATCACCCAAGGAGAAAGAAACAAAGAATAAAGAAAGTGAGCATAACATCCTGGGACTAATAATAAATTTGACAATTAATAAATAACACTGCACTGCAAGTAAGTAATGTGTTATACTTATTCCGAAAAACACACAATTCAAACCTTTTGCTGAAATCTGTTAGCATATTCTGCATTTTTGGCCTAAAATTGTCTTTAAAATTACAGAAAATTATAGGAATGTGAATCAAATTTGCTCAAACATAATGACTTATATTTGATATTCAGTGTATACTCACTTTCAACATATATAATCTGAGACATGGTGGGTATTTAGAATACAAAACTGTTTACATACCTTCAAGAATTGCTTAATATACAAAGTATTACTCCTCAAAAATAAATTGTGAGATTTATGCACTCAAAAACAAGTATCAGATATTAATTTTAACTTTTTCACCACAAATTCACAAAATAGTCCTATTTATAGTCTGCACTTTCCTTCAGAAGATTGGGACAAAAATAACACATTTTTGAGTAAAAACTGAAAATTGACTTAAATTCTGTCTGTTGGCTCCAAAATTAGGATTCTTTTCAAGAAACATTGAAGAATAAAAGAAAAAACGTGCAGAACAATTTGGGCTTAGAAGTCCGGTGGTGAAAATGTTAACTTCATCTAACATCATTTACAAGCTTGCTGAATACTCAAGAAATCCCACATTTAATGATGTTTTTTCAATTTACCCCAAAATCTGCACAATAGATTCAGTTAAATTCAAGTGACTTTGAAAATCTTGTATGATTTGCACCATTTTTTGCATGTTTTGCCCAAAGAAATGTAGGTAGAGTAGGGTTATCAGAACTACACATAATTTTTATTATTTGGTGAATTATACCAATCATTTATATTTTTTTTCTTCAAAAAACTGTTTTTGTTGTTGCCTATTATTAATATGAAGCAAAAAGACACCAAAGCAAATCATTTTGCTATAAAGTATGATAGCGGCATATACAGCCTTATATGGAAGACAACAAGAGCTGACAATAAATATGGAAATAATTTAAATACGTATTTAATTTGGTCTTTGAGTTCTGACACATGTAGCTATCTTATTTTGGCCGTTGTGGTACATCTCCTACTCCATCAGCAAGTTCAAAAACTTTGACACAGACTTCGTAAGCCAGCATATCAGCATTTTCCTAGGAAAAAATGCATTTTAATACGCATATAGTATGACAAATAAGGAATAAAAATAATTGTAACATGGAAAAGCTAACAATGAAGATGGCGACCAAATGAAAATGATGAATTTTTTGTCACAATCTTTTTTTATTTGAGAAGAAAATGGGTGTCTGTAATATTATGCAAATTAGGCAAATAGTATGCACAGATTTCAAATAAAACATAATGTTGCCCACCACATTTTATTATTGAGAAAGCTAAATTGGTACATGCACCAGTAATGTTACGAAAATTTTGCAAATATGCAGACTTCAAACAAAAAGGTTCTGTATTGCAAAGTGCATAATTGTGACCGAAAGAAATCTTAAAAAATTTGAGACATTTTTTGCCAAATATGACTTAATTTGTTCATTGTACCTGGGTATCTGCCTCAGCATAAACTCTTACAATGTCCTCAGTTCCTGATGGTCTGAAAGAAAAATTTAAAACAATTTGTTACATGTATATAAACACTAAACTACACTACACTGAACTACACTGAACTACACTACACTGAACTACACTACACTGAACTACACTACACTACACTACACTGAACTACACTACACTACACTACACTGAACTACACTACACTGAACTACACTACACTACACTACACTGAACTACACTACACTGAACTACACTGAACTACACTACACTACACTACACTGAACTACACTGAACTACACTACACTACACTACACCTACACTACACCGAACT